ATCAGGCATGGCCGTGTCATCAGGCATGGCCGTGTCATCAGGCATGGCCTTTGCTTCATAAAGCATATCCATCCCAGACTCATTGGCGGCGGGGGTGGTTTCATCGCAGTTGCCATCATCAAGCATACCTTCAACCAATTGCGATGATCCTTCATCAGCAGCACCACCAGCATTGTTGGCATCAGACTTTGGCTCCTGCATGTCAGATCAGGTTCATGCCAGTGGCTGGCTGGCCGATTGAATGAAGATCATGTCCAAACAATTAAAAACCGTTTTTGGCCAGAACAAAAAAATAAAAACACCATCCTCCTCGACATATGTGTTGGCATACTGGCCATCATCATACGAGTCTTGAGTGTCTATGCGGGTGTCTGGATATGTATCGAACCAGGCAGAATTCATCCAACCTGGTGCAAAGTATTCTTGGGCGAGACTTGGGTCTCCCAGCTGGTTATCATAGTGGGGCAGGGAGTCCTCGATAGTCTCAGGAGCCACCTCATCAGAGAGTTGTGGAAAGTTGATTCTCCCCTAGTTTTCCCCTAGTCTAGTTAGCAGCTGAGCATGTGAGTTTGTTTTTTCCCCTAGTGTGGGTTATGTTTTTGTCATGGATGACTTATATAAGTCATTCTAAAGTCATGTTGTGTCATGCATGGTTCGGTGTGCATTCCTGTTTCACATTTGTCCATTTCTTTCTCATAACGTGACTATATAGTAAATATAAATTATATATATATATAACTTGAATATAACTTGAGCACAGCAGTCTTGATGCCAAGGATCCAAAGCATGGCCACTTGCTGACCCAACCTTTGTCCAAGGCCAGCTGGGCCATTGGGAGAGGGCCAGGGCAGACAATTGTTAATTGATGAAGCATTATCTATTTCGACTTCTTTTGAGCATACACTGACATTGCAAACAAGAGTCGGGAACTTCTTCAGTACCAGGCCCCGATTCAGCATCGATTTGCCTGAAAGCCAAAGGTTTGGTGCTGATAGAGCAGAACGGTATTTTGCACTCTGACTTGGCCACACATGTAAGAGCCAAGCAACTTGATTGCATCCCATTTTTCTGCAAAAGATGCAGCTTCACCACAGTCACATTGTTCTTCTGACTCCTCATGAAAGATCAACACGGCAGGACTCCATGACAAAAAGCATCATGTGTTGAGTGTAGAGGGTAAAGTTGGACACATGACTGCACAACGGAGTGCATAACATTGCATAACTATGGTTCTCCTCCTGAGTAGTGTTCTTCTTCTTCTTTGCATCAGCCACAGCGGGTTTCTTAGATACCTTGCCCGCTGGCCTTTTTCTGGGACGCTTTTGCAAGTCGGTGGGAACATCATCCTCATCCTCATCGTCATCATCATCATATCGGCCCAAGGGATTGTGATCAGCATCACCTGAACCTCGAGCTTTTGCCTTTGGTTTTTTCTTCTTGTCTTGCTCTTTGTCTCCAGATGAGTCTGATGCGACACGGGGTGGTAGAGCATGGCCAGACCCAGCACCTATCACAAGATTGGGATTGGGCGATGAACAATTCCGAATCTTGAATCTTGACAGAACGTTTTCTGTTTTGACAACTCCCTCCCACACCTGATTCAACATGTGCGGGCGGCTTCAGCAGTTTCGCTCCGGAAGATGGCGGAGTTGCGGAAGTGCCCATTGGGGGGCTAGGAGCACTAGAAGCTTCGCCCAAATTTGCTGAAGACATCAGCCGCTGTAGATTGAAGTTCTTAGCGTCAGAAACGTGACAAGAGAAACGCCCTTGGCTGAAAAGAATACTAAGAACACTAAAGTGGAAGGCAAGTTGCTGGGATTCTAAGACTGGTTTGGAGAGGAACTTCTTCCACGTCGCTGTCATCTGCGGATGCACGCCGAGAAGCCATGTGTTCTATGGCCTCCAAACCTCACAAGATTTGCCTGTCTCAATCCCAGCAGCTGCGGTGGGTGATATTGTTGATGCTGCAGAATTGGTTCACAACATGGAAGGGCAAACGATGAGACAACATGTTCATATCCCATGGAAGTCTTGAGCTGTCCAAACTCACCCCTTTTCACCAACCCAATTCGTTCCACTGGTGTGGTGCATTCACGTCCATTGCTTTTGCCTTTCACCTGCCTAGAAACAAACACCAAAAGATCTGAGGGTTGACAAGCAGTTGATCTAAACACTTCGCATGACAGGCAGCGACGTGGTGATGCACAGATTGGCTCAGCCGGGATGCTGAGAGAGCTCTGGGGGTGCCAAAATCAACGCATTCATTAAATGAATGCACCCAACACCCTTACCTACTGATTGCCAAAGGCCACTCACTGTCAACCAGTAAATATGATCACGTATTATTTTCCCACATGTTTTTGAAACTCAAGTTTGAGGAAAGATTGACATGGGGTCCAAATATGTTCAAAAGAACAACGTGGCATAGGTTCGAGGCCTTTGGCTCGGGAACAACTTGGTTCGCTAGGTTCACATTAGGCGCACAGTGGTCGTGCCAACATCTACTGGTTGTGCCAAGCAAAGTACTGGCCGAATTGGTGTGAGAACCTTCACTTTGGGATTGGAGCAATCCAACCTTAGGATTTACAAGGGCCGGACTTTTCTGCTCACTCTAAGAGTTGTTCAAGATCTTGTTTTTGGCTCACTCACTCAAGAGTTGCAATTTGTGTTTGGCCAAGTGAAACACAAACAAAGCATTTCAATCCAAGGGGCCGGCACCTCCATGCAAGCGTCAGAGTTGCGGTTGAAGACTTGACTTTGGGCACGGACAAGTAGGCCCCAAAGTTCTTGGCAGTAATTGCTTGTTGATCCTTCTTGCCCTTTCCTGTCTTGGCCTTCTTGTTGGCGGGCGGAGGCTTCAAATCATCCATGCAAAACACCAGGGTTTTGTTGTTTTCCCATGTCCCATCTTCTTTTTGCGCGTGATGAGAAAGTTCGATCTTGGCCTCAGCAGTGCACGCGGAATTTTTGTAACAAAGATTCGTTATGAATCCAAAGTAATAATTCTTTAGATTTGCCAACAAGCATAGCCGCACTAGTTTGGGCCCTGCTGTTTAGGTTCCAGCTTCTCAGACGCCCACCTCGCCACAATCTTGGAGATCCACCATCAAGGCTTGCAAAGACACTGGGCTGTCCAGAGATTCTATGCCGCTCAAGTGGGATGCAATGTTCTTTTTTTTCCAAGATCATCATGGTGGCATTCGTTGCCTTAAAGGGCCACCAGCGACCTTCAGAATCTTCGGTGATCTCATTCGCTTCCTGAGCGGTGTGTGGAGTCAGAGTCAGTGCCACGTGAATATGGACGTACATAGATGGACATAAGAATGCTAGACTTGCTAGACAAGCTTCGTTGCCGTCTCGCCACTCTCCAGGCCCCCAAGAGCACCTTGTGGCAAAAGATGCACAAGATACACCACTTTGCAAATGATTCATCCCCCCAAGAAAATTGGTCCAAGTGGCAACTCCCGAAGCTGGAAGAACTGGTT